CTGCACAACACGGGTGCACTCACATGCAGGCAATACATTCATACACATAAAATAAAAATAATAAATAAAATATTTTTTAAAAAAAGATCACTGGCTGCTGGGATTATACTTATACACATAAAATAAAAATAATAAATAAAATATTTTTTTAAAAAAGAGGAGATACAAGGAATTTGTAGTGTTGGTAATGCTGTTTTGTTTTGGGTTTTTGGGTTTTTTTTTTTTTGGGTCTTTTTGAGACAGGGTCTCCCTGTAGCCCCAGCTGTCCTGGAACTCACTATGTAGATCAGGCTGGCCTTGAACTCACAGAGATCCACCTGCCTCTGCCTCCCAAGTGCTGGGATTAAAGGCATACGCCACCACACCTGGCTTTGTTTTGGGTTTTTGAGAGGATCTCATGTACCACAGACTGACCTGCAACTTGGAGGACTTTGAACTTCTGATCCTCCTGCCTCCCTGTCCCAAGTGGTGGGATTAGCTAGAGGTGTGCACCACAGTCTTGTCTTTGGTGTGTTGGGGATGAACCCAGGGCCTTATGCATGCTAGGTGAGCACTCTACTAACTGAGCTACATCCTTACTCTGGAGTTGGCAATGTTCTGTTTTATTTTCTTGGAGAGGGTCTTACACTGTAGCTCAGGCTAGCCTCAAACTTATTAGAATGTCTTGGCCTCCCAAGTGCTGATATGACAAGCATGAGTTTACAGTTCAATTTAATGCTATTCCCCACCAAGAGTTCAGCTTTTGAAAACAAAGTGTGTGTGTGTGTGTGTATGTGTGTGTGTGTTTATGTGTGTGTGTTTATGTATGCTGCAGCACATGTGTAAAGGTCAGAGGAGGGCCATAGGTGTTGGTCTTCCCCTTCCACCTTGTTTGAGTTAGGATCTCTATTTGTGTGCTGCTGTATGTGTAGGACTAGATGGCCTTGGAGCTTCTGGGGAATTTTCTGCAAGTTCTTTACCCACTGAGTCATCTCCCCAGCCCAGCGTTCAGCTTTTTACTGCAACCTTACAAAAGAGGTTAGTCAAAAAGACCAAAGCTCATGTCATCATCAGACTCCTCGGATTCTTCCTTCATTGCTTCTGTTCTCTTCAGCTGGGGCTGGTGTGGTCCCGTCTCCTAGAGCACGTCCATGAACCCCTGTATTGAAGGTAAGGCTTCCAATGTTGAAGCTGACTGGCTTTTGCAAACAAGCCAGGCCCCAAAGGTTCAGCATCTACGCCAGCTGCTGTACTGAAGGCATGATCTTATCCTCTGTGACAGCCACCTCATCATCAAGCAGAATGAGGGCAGAGCGGATGCAGGTGAGCTCAGAGACTTCCAGGGACACTGCTGCTTAGCTACTGAAATAAGGATTTCGTCCCATAGAGGCTTTAGCTTCCTCAAAAGAAACCTGCACCTCAGCAGCAGCAAAGGAAAGCGAATGTCCTGCTCTTTGTCTGGATGCCGATCACATAGGTGTGTTCACCCTGTGAAACTGACCAATGTGTACACTGGTGACTTAGCTATGTCTCCTTATGAAGCATGTACATGCATATACATGCATATAGATATATGAACGTATCTGGGGGAAGGGAGGATTGATACAAGGTCTCCAGGGAAATTAACCTTCAAACGTGAAAGAGAAATGTGTGTGTTTGTGCATGCTGTGGCCTGGGTGTGGAAGTCAGAGGACATCTTGTGGGAACTGGGTGTCTCCTACCACGTGGGTCCCAGGATCAACTTAGGTCACCAGTCTTTATTTTTACTTTGCACAATTTAAATGTTTGCTTTTATGTATGTAAAAATCTTTACACTGGTAGAAGGTATTTGAATGCAAAGCTATGTGCTCAATATGCATTAATTTCATTTTTTCAGCAAATATTTTAGCACTATTCTAGAGAAGTAATATAAAGGAGGAAAAAGCACCTAAACTCTCCAGTTTCAAGATGTTTATGGTGTCCTTTATGCTTAATTGTAATACAGTATAACAGGCACTTGTATGGATGATTATGTAAGATTTAATGGAATTAGTTTAGCATAAACCCTTTTTTCCAAGATGTATTTATTTTATGTGACTGTGTGAGTACCTACATATATGTGCGCCACTTACGTGCCTGGTGCCAGAGAGGCCAGAAAAGGGTGTCAGATTCCCCTGGAACTGGAGTTACAGGCAGTTGTGAGCCACTGTGTGGGTGCTGAGAACCAAACCTGGGTCCTCTGCAAGAGAAAAGTGCTCTGAACTACTGAGCCATCTCTCCAGCTTCAGGATAAACACTTCAGTGTTGGGTGGTACATTGTGGAACACAACCTTAATCCCAGCACTAGAGAGGCAGAGGCAGGTATTCTCTATGAGTTCAAGGCTAGCCCTGGTCTACAGATCAAGTTCTAGGCCAGCCTGGGCTATACAGTGAGACCCTGCGCCAAAAAGACACAAACAAAAGAAACCCAAAATCAAACAAAAACCCTTTAATGACATGAAAACAGGTCATCATATATTAGGAACAATATTCTTTGTTATCAAAAGCAATGATTATTTACCTTCTACCCAGCATCCCAGATGATATAGAACATTTTGCTAACATTTATAGCCAATCATATGGTATATTTCAGGTGAACATTTTGGATGTTAACACAAAACATTTTATAATTATTTGTTCCGCAAACCCTCCTGTATTTGAAAAATCCTCATCAGTATGGTTGAGCCAGTCTCTACGGAAACAGAGGCAGTCACTGGCGTCAGAGATAAACCTCTGTCTTTAAAGATTTTTTAAATTTATAATTTTATGTGTATGAGTCTTTTGCCTGCATGTATGTAAGTATACATACCACAACTAGCCACCATGTGGGTGCTGGGAGCCAAACCCAGGTCCTCTGGAAGAAGAGCAAGTGTTCTTAACCACTGGCCATCTCTGCAGCCCCTTAGATAAATCTCTATCATTAAGAACTCACTGTTTGGACTGGGGACACAGCTCAGTGGTGGGGTGCTTGCCCAGCATGCCTGAGGTCCAAGGTTCAATTTCTGGTATTTCCCCAAACCAGAAAACTCTCACTTGTCTAATGCAGGCAAACTCTACATATTTAACAGTTGGGGCATCCACAAATGCACATGCACACATAAAGATACACAGATGTGGTTACTTTCTCCTGAAATTCTCAAACTGCTAGTGTAGGTAGATAGCAGGGATAAAGAGAACCCCATGAAACAAGGGTCAGTCAGAACTTTATGCCTATTGTCCACTCACACCAACACCAATTTTAAACATTGGTATTTTAATTTTATGTGTATGAATGTATTGCCTGCATGTATTTAAGTGGACCCGTGTCGTGCAATGCCCGCGGAGGTCAGAAGAGGGCGTCGGATCCCCTGGAACTGGAGTTACAGTTGTTAGCTGCCATGTGGGTGCTGGGAATCGAACCCGGGTCCTCTGCAAGAGCAGCCAGTGCTCTTAACCTCTGAGCCTTCTCTCCAGCCCCACCATTATTGTTTATAATCTCTGGGATACTGCAAGCACCAGAAGCTCCTCCAAGCCTGGGCTGCCAGGTTTCCCCAAGGCCCCAAAGTCGACCAGGTTTGGGGAGCAGCGGAATGGCAGCGCTGTAACAGGCTCGGCCTCTGTCTGGCGTCTAGGGAGATGGACGCGGAAAGCCTTTGCGCATGCGTACTTTAAGAAGCCGAAGCCGCCCGGGATTGGGCGGGGCGAGCTCGAACTGCGACTGCGCACTGTGCACCGCGGTTGAGCCGCAGTCTCTGGAGCGCCGAGGAGTCTCGGTCCTCAGTGGCCAGCAGGGTCGGCGAGCCCAAGTGGTTGCTGCATTGCCGCCGGGGCCTCGGCGGGGCACGGGTCGGGGCCACCATGCCGGTGAGGAGGCGGCAGGGCCGCGGGCTTCGGCTGAGCGCGGCGGCCTGGCTCGGGGGCGCGGCCGTTGCCA